CCCTATTGTGTGAAAGTTTGTCTTAGTGATGACAAAAAAATCTTTATATATGAACTTGTAGGGCAGTCAGGTGTCATAGTGAACGTGTTGAAGTGTAGTCTTAAATATTATGTGTTACAGGATAACTTTCCCAATAAAGGGCGGTAAAGGAAAGAAAAGAAAAGAAGAGGATGGGAATGAAGAAAAAGCTGAAGAAGCTAAAACACTGATTGTAGAGCCTCATGTCATTCCAAACAGGGGACCATATCCATATAATCAACCAAAACGGTAATAAACAAATGAGAACTTATTTACAAATGGTAATGTGCATAGCAGTTCATTTTCAGAAATACTTAAAAATAATATTGTGGCTCATAAATGAAATGTCATTTTGACTTAATTACCGAAAGAAGATTCGAATATGAGGGTTGTGATTAATGGAGCAGTGTCAAGTTGGAGGCCTGTAACCAGTGGTGTCCCTAGGGGTCAATACTCGGTCCAGTCTTGTTTTATATATTCATCATTGACCTGGATGAGGGGACAGCGTGTACCCTCAGCAAGTTTGCTGATGATACCAAACTGGGAGGGGTGGCTGACACTCCAGAGCGCTGCGCTGCCATCCAACGTGACCTGGGCAGAGAAGAACCTAATGAGTGCAGTGTCCTGCAGCAGGGGAGGAAGAGTGCTAGGCACCAGTATAGGTTAGGGGTGGACCTGCTGGGAAGCAGTTCTGAGGGGAAGGATCTGGGGGTCCTGGTAGATAGTAAATTGTCCATGAGCCAGCAATGTGTCCTTGTCACTAGAAAGGCCAATGGAATCCTGGGCTGCATAGGGAAGAGTGTGTCCAGTAGGTCGAGGGAGGTCATTCTCCCCCTCTGCTTGGCACTGGTGAGGCCACAACTGGAATACTGTGTCCAGTTTTGGGCTCCCCAGTTCAAGAGGGACAGGGAACTGCTGGAGAGAGTCCAGCGAAGGGCAACCAAGATGATGGAGGGATTGGAGCATCTCCGTTACAAGGAAAAGCTGAGAGAGCTGGGACTCTTTAGCCTGAAGAAGAGAAGGCTGAGGGGAGACCTTATTATTGCTTACAAATATCTAAAGGGAGGGTTGAAGGAGGATGGAGCCAGACTCTTCTCGGTCGTTCCCAGTGACAGGACGAGGGGCAGTGGGCGCAAGTTGGAACATAGGAAATTCCGTTCCAACACACGAAAAAACTTCTTTACAGTTCGGGTGACAGAGCACTGGCACAGGCTGCCCAGGGAGGGTGTGGAGTCCCCTTCTCTGGAGATTTTCAAAACCCACCTGGATGCAGTCCTGAGTAATGTGCTCTGGGCAATCCTGCTTTAGCAGGGGAGTTGGACTAGATGATCTCTAGAGGTCCCTTCCAACTCTGAAAATTCTGTGATTCCATGAGACTGTTTTGTTTTATATTTAAATCAAACTATTCTATTATTCCATCTCTGTTAAAAATTTCCCTTGAAGAACAGTGAGAAGTACTGTCTTACAGTATTGTGTTAGGACTTCGAACATATGGAGAATCATACCTAAATAATTTTACAGCATTCTCGGCAAATAATAACTAAAGGGAGTCAGTCTTTTAGGTGGGAGGATTTTGTTGTCATGTGGACAACATGATTTACTGTCTTGCGAGATTGTCATGTCTATAAAGAAGACAGTTGTAATGATAGTTTAATTTATATTAAAGTTTGCAAGCATGTAGTTCTGGAGAAACATGTAGCCAATTAATTTAAATCAAGCTTGTTAAAACAATTGCTTTTATCAAAACTGTTGGCAAATTCTATGAATTCTGTGATCTTGTTTTGCTTTGTTACAGCAATACTATTCAATTTACCCA